GGTTCTAAATTTGGCGACTTATCAACATTTTGGCGATTATAAAATCAATTTATATAGAAAATTTTTAATTTTCGGGATTTGTGAATTTTTCTGTTTTTTCTAGAACATTATAATATTAATAAACTTCATCAAAACAATGATAATATATGCAATATGATACTATAGTGAAACATAAGCTTTTCGAAATTATTTCATTTTTTCTAATGAAGAGCTCTTGAACAACTTTTCGCTTTTGGGGATGTGAATTCTTTTATTTAAATGATTCTAAATTTGGCGATTTTAAGATCAGTTTCTATAGAAAGTTTTTAATTTGGAGATCTGAGAATTTTCGACGATTCTTTTTAACATTATAACATTGATAGATTTCATTAAAATAATGGTAGTATATTGAAATTATATTTAAGAAATAGCATTAAAATAAAATATTTTTATTTTCACCATAATGTTATAAAGTGACATTGCTTTTTTACATTTAGTGATTTAATATACAATATTTTTTATCTGAAATATAAACAAGGTAACAAATGCTATAAAGCATACTTTATGAAAGCAACAAAACAATTCTTAGCAAAAACAAAAAAGCTATTTAATTAATTAAAAATGTCTTCTTTTTAATTTTTTCATGGTAAGAGTTTTTATCAGTTTTCTTGAAAATTGATTTTACACTTTTTCTCTCTCATTTTTTTTTTTTTTTTAAAAAGCCCAGAAGGGCTATTAATTTCATTTTGGCATTTTGTGTTATCCACTCTAAAACAGCGTTTCACTTTTCAAATTTATGCCACCAAATATTAGAGCCTTGCATTATATTCAAAGGAATTAAATAATGAAGAATGTGCATAAATGTATGCATGTATCTGTGACTGAAAAAACAATGGTACCTGGAGCCATCAAATTTTGAATAACATAGTCCCTCACCTGAATATGGGCATCTGTAAGCCCAAATTTGGAATTTATTTTTATTATGCATTTCATATTTTGTAAAACTTAAATGAATTTTTCACTAACAAACAGGAAACACAGTACGAAAAAAACATTTTTGTCTCCAGCATGCGAGACTGTGTATTAGAAATCCTAAAGGTATGCTCATCTTAAGTATTTTGTGATATTGCTATTGAATTGAATTTTATTTAACCATAAAATTCAATTCAATAGCAATATCACAAAATGCGAAGAACATGATATTTAATAAATAAAGGTAATACACAAAACATTAAAAAAAAAAAAAAAAAACCCACCACTCCTTTGGGCGTAATATAAAATTCGAAAGCTTTCAGATTTTTTTTTATTATTATTATTTATTTATTTTTACCCCAAAACATTTCGGACCTTTTGCTGCTGCAGAATTGGTAGGGTTAACTTTTCTTTAGAATTTTAGACATTGCAACTTGGAAAGTTTAGAAGGCTTTGAAGGCAAAATTTATGGACCTACGATTCTAGAAGATTCCAGAAAAATGTGACAAAATGAAAAATGTCTTCATAGTATTGAACAATGAAAACATAATATTTCAATGTATTACTTCTGATACCAGAAGTCATTTATTGAACATGTTTATCTTCCATTTATTTTCTCTCCTTTTCACTAGGCACAAATGTTAAAAATATCAAAAATATTTCTGATCTTATCACATGGACAGGCATTTGTAGAAAGGAATTTTTGTAGTAGTAAAGAAATTAAAAACCGACAATTTAAAAGATTCATCTTATATGTCTCAATGATCATACATAGGGCTCGCACTAGAAATATTCCCACTTGATGTTATCTCCCTGTGGATCCTAAGTTATGTTGCCTGGTTGCCTTCCTAAATTCTGCTCCCAGTGCCTGTCTTAAATTCTAAAAGTTTTGCCATTTCTAGATGTTGCGCTGTGTGTGTCACTAAATTCTAAAAATTCTGCCACACTGGCTGTGTAACCACCCCATACCATGTATAACTTCTTATTTTTTTCTGAATGTTCATGTTACTAAATAAATAAAATTAGCTGCTTTTTCTATACATTTTAAATGCATTTAGTTTTTCAGACTAACAGAAATCTTTAATTAAATCCAAAAATTATAAAATGAGGAGGAAACATTTTAAAGAAAGAAACTGATACATAAAGAGAAAGAAAATTATTCTTGAAAGATATGTACAATTAATTTTATGTAAATTAACCAGTTCTCTATAATTTTAGCATTTACAATAACTTCCCCTTTCCTTCTCCCCACCAGAATGCAAATAATTTAGATAGTTTTTAAACTTAGCTTTTTGGATTGTAAGACGGTGTTCCCGGCCTCCACTTGCATGTTGCATTAGTTCCTGCCAGCTGTGATAATTTGTAATTATTCATCTTTTCATTATCGCTGCCAACATTTAAATTGGTTACGGTGATAGGGTTACTTAGCCCATTTAGATTAAAATTAAATTGTGTAGTGTTTGACTTCTAGTCGACATTTTTAGTTTGAATTTGACTGTTCCTGTTTAATTACATCACCACGAGCTGTAGTGAATTCAGCTAGCATAAGAACCTGCCTTTATGTTCTAAATTCTTTTTAAATAAGAGACTTATTAAACCTTTATCTGACTGTATAGTTACTTTCATACATAACGATAATTTGCTTCACTTCTGTCAGGGGCTTTGGACTGTTTAACTTCTACCAGATAAAACATCATTAGATACATTATCAAGAGATCGACAAGTTAGATAAAACATGTGAAATTAGTAGAAACACTGGCTTGCATATTGAAATAAATTTTTAATTGTTAGAAGAGATGGTTAAAGAGAAGGAAATTAATGTAAATTAGCCAAAATGTCTGGGAAGGCTTCAAATAAAAAAGATGCATAAATAAGTTGTTGAGTGTTGTTGCTGCAAAATATAAATGTTTTATAGCTTTTAATGTGTAATTATTCTAATATTGTTTAAGAATCAGTGTCATAAATGAACTGTGTTTTAAACTGTGAAAGAGTGTTAGATTGTGATTTTAATAGTGAAAGCACTATTAAAATATAAAAAAATAAAATTTAATAGTTGCCTTGTCAATCTTTAATTACTAAGGGTATCTAACTACTTAACTGACTGCTTGCCCTTAAATGTTATTGCTGCATGTTAAAGCTAGTTATTGCCTTTCATTAGTCCTTACCATGGTTACAAGATAAGCAGAAAAATGTAAAAATTAATGTTTTCTTTGCAGTTAGTCAGACTTAAAATAATACAAAACAACTTATCACCTCTGGTGCTTTAGTAGTTTATTGGAACATTAAAGTATATTAACTGGGTTACACAAACTCAGGAAACTGATACTAACTGCGTCAGACATATAGAGCACAACTAACTTTCAAAACTTGCCAACTGTTCCTACATCAGGCTTTCAGGTGTGTTCTGATTAGCAGGTTTCTCTCTAGGCAAGTGGCAGCACTAATAATAGCCACTCTTCTGTTACCAGTCATGCTGATTATGATTTTACTTCTCATTTTAACCCATGCCGTTTGACATAAAAATCTACCTGTCATTTACTAAACTTCTAGACTGAGCAGATACGTGACAAAATGAGACATAAAAGAACATAAGTTTTTGTTTCAGCAAGAACAAAATTTCTATCTTTTGCTCAATAAAAACAGCGAGGACTAATTTCAGGTGTTAAACATTTTTTAATTGTGAAAAACAATAATTTAGTTTTCTCAAATACCTTTTTTCTTTTTGAAATCAAAAACCCTGTTAACATTTTCCATTTTTATTACCTTCTGTGACATGAATAATAATATTAATGTACAAGATGTCCAGTACATAGTACAATTACGAATCAAAAAGATAAAAGGTTAATTCTGCTTAAATTTATAGCTGGTAGTTGCATGTTTCCATAAAGCAGTTTTGGCAATGCATGTAGTTGTGGACATCATTTTGTCTTTCTGCAAGCTATCAGACATTACTTTTGGTATATCTGGAATAGCATTCAACAGTGAATATATTTGGCAAGGTCTGATGTAGGCATGATTTTGTATATTATGGAATAGTGGTTAGCAAATATAGATTAGCTGCAAAATTCATGAAAGTCAACTTCCTTTTTTTCTTTAATTTCACCAAAGTTACTAGAGGGACGATGCCATGAAAACAGAAAGTTCAATTTTTAGGATGTGATGCAACCTTAATTGTTATCTTGATGCTTCTTCTGACAAATCTTCTAATAATAGTATATTATTAGAATAATAATTTTAATATTATTATTCCTGTCACAAAAGGTAATAAAACTTTAACTTGATCATCTAATGGATATCCAAAGTATATTGCAGAAATGCCTTTTTAATTAATCATGATATACATCTGTATGATTTAAATATGATATACATCTGTATGATTTAAATATGATATACATCTGTGTGATTTATGTATGAAAGTACCAAAAACAGCAGAATGTGTTTGCATGTATCCTGCGTTTAGGAGGCATGGTGGGAATTATTAAAACACCAGTCTTCAACTGTACTTCAATCAACCAACTAAAAATAATTTGGGTATTCTTCTGCATTTGAAAATCAAGTCGTAGAAGTAGTTAAAAAATAAGAAACACTATAAAAATTATAATAATTGTAAATAAAATAAAATGGTAGTTTTAAAAATTATGAAAAAGGTGACATAGTAACTAGAGGGACATATTAACCATTTGATGACTTATAGAGGTAATACATCTTAAGAATAATTCCCAGTACTTTTTTATTATTACGGCCTCAGTTATTTAGACAGCACCAAGAGTTCTATTAAGGCACAATGCCAGAGTGGCAACTCAGAGCTTTTTTTGATCGTGGTTAGGACTGCTGGCCATTTGGCAACAATTTGTGAAGATTGATTTAGGTTGCTGCTTTGTTGTAGTTTTTTTAACGAAGTAGATAGTTGGTACCATTTAAATAATAGGTGCCATAATAAAAAAGAGTAAATTCCTTTACGCTTCAGAAGTTTACTTTTTTGCTGTGCAAGTTAATAGTTATGAATTTTTTTGTATAACTTTAATGAGCATAAAAGTATTTTTATTTAGGTGGCCAAAGAAACCAGATCCAAACCAAATGTAGTTATAATGGATAAATCCAAGGTTTCGCCTAGATCAATTCCAGTAGAAAACAAGACTGCTGCTACTCATGCAAGGTCAATACCAAATTCTGCTGTGGAAACCAGAGCTTCAAGTTCTCCATCTGTTGTGTCTACAAGTCAGTCTTATCATGAAAATAAAACACTTGTACCTCAAAGAGCTAATAATCAAGTAGTCAGTGAAGTAAAATCCTTCAGTGCACAAACATGGTGTAATCCAAATGTTTCTACCCCGTCTGAAAAGAAACCTCAAGGGAATGCCAATCGTGTAACTCAAACTATTGCAGTTCTGCCTGAAACTAAAAGTCAAGGCAGTCGTCAGGTTGTTTCTGTTCTGCCTGAAACTAAGCCTCTGGTTTCTAGAAATAGTCAGAATGCAGGTTTGCTGCCTGAAAATAAAGCTCCAGTTAGGGTTAATCAAATACCAACAGAATCCAAAGGGCAACCTAGTCAAGGTCGTATTGGTCAGTGTCACCAGCTTTTAAATGAGGGAAAAGTAGCTCCAAATCAAAGCAGAATTTCAGTAAATACTTCATCTGCAGAAACTAAAATATTTAATAATCAGAACTGGAATCAGAATTCAAGTTTTTCTGGTGTTAATGAACATAAAACTACTAATGCTCAACAAAGGCATATTGTTCAAATGGTAGCAGATCCCAAAACATGTAACAAATTAAGTACAAACAGGCCTGTTGAAGGCAAAGTATCCAACCAAAATCGTGGGAATCAAAATGTAAAACTTGCATCTGATACCATTGCTACCATTCGAATTCGTCCAAGTTTTCCAAAAACCACTGATCGTAAAACTGTTGTAAGCCAGGCTGTGACACCAACAGTATTACCAGAATCAACTAAGATTAATCCATTTAGAAAAGTTACTGAGGAAACTAGTTTGACTCTTGGGGAAAAGAGCTTTCCTGTTGTGGAAGGTAAATCAGTAGCTTTAAAGCAGGCACCTGTTAGGAACTTTATTATTGCATCAGAAGGTCAATCAGTTGCTCATTCCAAAAATAGCCAAACTGTAACAGTGCAATCTGATGGTAAAATAGCTTGCCAGGTTGTAAAAAATTCTTCAGTAGCATTGGAACCTTCTCAGAAATCTTCCTCTTATTTTGGTGAGTAGCTTCTTATTTTATTATATAAAATAATGTGATTAGTTTTTGAAACAGTATTTAATAAGTCTTTGTATTTTATAATTTAGTATTTTATAGTTTATATATAAAATTTAATTCATTAATGTTTTTGTACTATTGTTTCTCTTTCCCATGTTTGTTCTCTATCATTATGCAAAACTTTATGCAAAAGTTCAAAATTTCTTAATGTGTGGTTGTCTCTGTCATTCTGATAGTGTGAGGATAGAGAAAAAATTGGTAATTTTAAGTGTTAAAACTGAATATTTGAATTTCGAATCAGTAAAGATTCTGATCACTTGAATTTCTAATAGTCATGTGTTTAATGTTCCATAATGTAGTATACAGGGGTAGTTTGTGGTTGAGTTAGTCGCACTATAATTCTGAAAGTAGTAATAATTTTAATTTTTTTTTCTTTTGACACTTTCAGGTTGTTATAGAAACAAATTCTATATATTTTTGTTTACAACTAATAGTGTACAGTCAATTTTAACATGGGTGCAAAAATAAACACTTTTGGAGTATTTTATTTTTTTTTTTCCCATAAAAGCAAGAAAGTGGTTGAGCCTGACAAAGAGATATGTGAAGTTTATGGTTTATTTTGTTTATTGCTTAATAGAATGCATGTGTCAGAACTCGTTTAAATTTTGTTCTGGAGATTTTTTACTTGAAGATGGCGAACATTCTGGCTGACCATCACACACAGCAGTTGAAAATGATATAAGATGTCTTGTACTCATTAGGAAGCTCGATATTAGGATTCCGCATGAATTGATAGAAATTCTTAGTACTCTTCTGTTTCGCCGGTGCATATCTTGCCAAGTACACTTTATTGGCGAAAACACACAATATACACATAAGTGTTGACAAATGTTAGTTCTAAAAATTTTTTATTTTGAAGGTATAAACATTTTAATGTCGTCTAAAATTTTGTAAAAAAGCCAATAAATAAAGAATAAATTTTTAAAAAGAATATTAGATTTACTGTGCTTTCATCGCAAATCCTGATCGACGGTTGATCATCACTCAAGTGATCCCTCATACGCAAACTAGCTACAAAAATGTAATTCTCTAGTAATTTCTACATTATTTCAAGTTAATCTTAATTGGAATACATGTTAAAGGCAAGAATTATTTAATTCATACGAGCGTTACTCAGAAATTAAAACCACAGTGCTGTACTTCGCTAGTGCATTCTCATTAGAATTGATAAACTTAACCCTTGACTTTCTTGATGAACTTAACCTTTTCTATATTTTCGCCATCGGGTTAGCGGTATGATTGCATCCTAATTGACCTAATTACCGCCCGCAAATGGCCTTAGGGCATAAAATTGAACTATCTGGTAAAAATTCTTTGTAATTGTTTGCCAGTATTGAAAAGAAAACGATCTGATAAGAAATGGCTACGTCTTGTTTTGAAAATGTAAAAGGTAAAGGTTACCAGTGAGGATATTTCATTTGGTATCGGTTGCGTCGGCGAAACGGAAAAGTACCAAATTCTTTAAACACAACGATTCAGTATTTGCATTATGCATTTCAAATATAATATAGTTGACCCTTTTTTGAAATTAATTATCACTGGTGATAGAAAATAGATTGATTGTCTGCAATAACATTAATAGAATAAGATCATGATTTAAGCATGATGAAACAGCACAAATCATATCCAAACCTAAATTGCATTAGAAAAAGATCATGCTGTCAGTTTGGTGGGATTACAAAGGTGTTGTGTGCTTTCAGCTACTTCCAAGAAACCGAATTATCAACTCAGATGTGTACTGCCATGAACTTAAGAAATTGCAGGAGGCAATCACAGAGACCAGACTTGGCAAATTGCAAAGAATTTGTGTTTCATCATGACAGTGCAAGGCCTCGCACACCTTTAGCAACATGTACAAAATTATTGGATCTTGGTTGGGAAGTGACCTTGTGCCATTGGTTTATCTTTTATTTCAATTTTTACAAAACTTCTCAAATTGAAAAAAATTCAGCTATAGCAATGATCTCAAATTGCATTTGGTTGAGTTTTTTGCTGATAAAGACCAGAAGTTCTATAAGTGCGAAATCATGAAGTTATCAGAAAGATGGCAAAAGGTTCTTGGAACAGAATAGAAGGTATTTGACTGATTAGGGTTCAATTTTTGCATAGAAAAGTAGAAAGATTCAATATTGGTATTGTTCTTTACTTAATATGTTTCACAAACAATAATCAATCAACAAATGGACTGTATTCCTACACTTTTATTTCTTACACTAATTATAAATAATATGTCAGCGATGTGAAATAATTGATACAAAAATAGCGAGCCATTCTACATGGCTGTCACAAACACAATTCTATCAATCATTATTTGTTGCCCCATAAGTTCAAATCTAAAGGAAGAAAACAAAAAATTTACGCTGTTTGCAACAATAAAATGAAGCAAACGATACTCAATAAACATCCGGGCCTCGTTGAAATTCCAGGGGATTTCAACAATTGGAGCATTTGAAACTTCTTAGTCTGTAATAAAGATAAACATAAGAAAAATAATACAAATATTATATGCGAAGCAGTTCATGTTTTTAGTCTGAATAGGAAGAGGACACAATTTCCGACTGGTCGTTTTATGACACCATGACAGTTTTAATACTAGCACTCTGACTCTTGATCTGAGCCCGGTGAACAGCAATTATTCTCCCTAACCTCCATTAAAGAGGCGAAGGTTGTCTTCTTGATGAGGACTAAGTCATTGACTTCTAAATTGTTTTGACTTTTTTGCCATTTAGGTCTTTGTTGAAGCTGAGACAGGTATCTCGACTCCATCTTTTCCAGAAGTGCTGAAAAATAAACTGTCTCACATGCCATCTGTCAATGTGATGAAGGAAACTATAATTTAGGTGGTCAGGTATGGCAGTTAAGACGTTCCTTAGGAAATGACCAGGTGTTAATGCAGTTAAATCATTTGGACAGCCGATGTTGGACACATGGTTAGAGTTGAGACAAGCCTCAACCTGCGCTATCAAGGTCGAAATTCCGGAAAGGTCAGCACAGTATCACCAACAGTCCTTTTTAGATGTAATTTCATGACTTTATGCCGATTCCAGGTCCACCAAATGGGAGATGGGCGGGTTGAATATCCATTTATTTCCTCTAAAGACAAAATTTGTGAATTTCTTGATTTTTATATTGCAAAAAACATTTTCTTATTTCTTTGTCTGCACCTTAAAAGTTAGTACCGCAGTCACTATAAATCTTCAAATAGGTTTCCCTCTTCTTGCAATAAATCGTTTCAATGCACTTAAAAAAATGCCTTTGTTGACAAATCTTCTACCACTTCAAGATGTACTGCCTTGATTACAAAACACAACAAATTAAGCATACATTAGCATTTAAATGATTTTTGTGCACGTCCTGCACGATGTTTAATCATGAACGGTCCAGAAAAATTTATTCCAGTTCGATGAAATGGTCGCGATTGTGTTACTCTAGTAGATTCCCGGTAGATCAGCCATTATTTGACTTGCAGTTTTAGCTCTAAGTTTGCAACAGTGATACAAGATCGTACTACTTTTCAGATAGCAGATCTAGCAGCTATGATCCAAATTGCTGTCTAATTAAAGATAGAAGAAGTTTCGGTGCTGCATGCAGACATTTGACACGAAAGTGTCTAATTATGATTTCTGTCAGATTGTGTTTTGAAGGTAATAAGATTGGATGCTTTTCATTTTCTGATAGTTGCACATTTTTCAGTGTTCCTCCTACACGTAACACTTTGTTGTCATCTAAAATTGGACACAAAACTAAGGAGGTTGCTGTTTGTAGGTAAGTCCTTTCCCAACTCCAAACATTGAATTTCTTTAAAAAAGTGAAATTGCTGTATTATTTGGACAATACAGAAAGTTGCAGC